TCTCTTGTCATTGAAGAGTCTTACATTATTGGACATGACTCATGGCAAATGGGAACTATGCGATCTCTGTGTTTGTGTGTTTGTATGTATCTATATGTGTGTGATAGATATGTGGCTTTGCCAAAATTAATCTGTAAAAGAGCACTAGTTAATTGGCTAAAGGAAATTAAGTGCTTATGTAAATAGAAATATAAACATAAGTGGCCAGAGTGAATTTCAGGTTCATGTGATCTGGAAAATATTCAGTACTGAATTGATATCTGATATTGAAGCTAGCTTAAGCTTGTTGGTTTGATTAATACAGACATGTCTTTAGAGTCATCAATGGTAAGTATAATACTCCTGCTGTACCTAGGAGGGAAAGTAAAACTAAAGCTACTAAATGTAAGGGAAACATTTCAGGGTGCCAGAAAGTAAGATCTGTGTTTTCAGTAAAAGAAGGTATGAGGAATGGAATTGCATTTTGTTAAGGGAAAAGAAAGCAGATTTTGTCCTAAAGCTGTTGTTTCTGAAAGGAAAAGAAAATAAGGGGCAAAATAATATAAATACAGAAAATTGTGGGAGGTTTGTGGAAGACAAACCCTGAGGCATCTTGGAGAAATAGCAAATTATCTAGGATTATCTGGTATGTTAAGTGTAGTCAGTCATAATTCCAGTAATTGTGACCAAGCTTCTTTGCTGATTACATTGCAATCTGGTATTTAACCACACCTTCTTAAGTCTTTTGTCATTTATGGAGAGTTACTGTTGGACTCTGGTGCTGTTGCAAAAGGGCTTCATCTTCAAGAATAGTCACAAGAAGGCTATGGAAGCAGTTACAACACTTCCACATCAAGATTATGACTGTACGAGGATTCCAGCCATGTCACCATCTGTCCTGTCCCTGGGCCCCCTAGCTCAGGCATCCAGAGATGTTTACTCCAGTCAACGCCCTTACTCAGTCCTGAAGCAGCTACAGAAGACTGGTCCTTGTCCCTCTGCTCCCCGAAAGAATATGGGAGTCAGATCTCTAAGGAGGGAATGAGACAGGAGGGAAGGGGTCAGGGCATAACCATTGAAGGAATGACACAGCAGTTGAGGACAGGACAAACAGGTTAGAACCGAGATGGGTAAGATGTGACTTCCAGTAGACCTTGGGACTCATGGCACACTCACAAGCACCGGGGCAGTTCCTCGGCTGACCATACAAGGTCAAAAAATGGGCAGGGGGCCTGACTCCCGGAAATCCCTGCCCCTTCTGCAATGTAATTGGAATAATCCTCCTTCTCATTAGCATATGAAATACCAAGCCTATAAAACCTAACAACGCCACAAAAAAAGAACACACTGTACATCTACTTTAATTATTAAAGAAAAGAGCACACTGACCAGAAGTGAGGAATATCCATGTTAAAAATAAGGATTAAACGCGTCTCTGCCGGGGGACGCCAATGCGGGTACTCCTTTGATGGTAAGACTCCCTCCCCAGGTGACAAGGCCATACTGACTTGCTGTGTACGTGGTCTTTTTTTTTTTTTGACACCTTAAAGAAATGTACACCTGTTTCATGTTCTTTGTTCTGATAAGATATGAAATTGTGCTTAAAACCCATGCTTCTCTGGAGCAGTTTCTCATAATAATCTGGGAAGCTGGCTTCTGGGTCAGAGTCCCCAGTTTGGCTCAAGTAAAATTCATCTATTCTTATTATTGATTATTTTTTGTTTATTTTCATTGACAGACCCCCGCCCCCCAGGGAGCTCCCTCACCCCTCCTGCCATGGGAGGACACAGCGAAGGAAGAGGAAGCGGGCTCCCACCAGACACTGAATCTGCCAGCATCGTAACCTTGGACTTCCAGCCCCCTGAGAAATAAATGTCTGTTGCTTATAAGCCTCCTGATCATGGTGTTGCTACAGCAGCTTGAAAGTACTTAAAGAAGGGGTTATGAGCAGAGGGGGTGTGATCTGCTCCGGGTCTAAGGATCCTTCCGCTGCTGTGAGAGAAAAGATAGGGTGAGGGGTTTGGCGGAAAGCGACAATAGTCTGGGTGGGAGGTGATGGGGCTCGAGCCACAGAGGAGGTAGTCGGGAGGGCAGGAGGCCAAGGCTAGGAGGTCTGTCGTTTGCTAGTTACAAGTCTGATGACAGGTGTACGAAGTCAAAGGTGATACTGAGGATTTTGCCCTGAGCCTGTCTTCTCATTTGTAAAACACAGTTCCCACCTCCTGGGGTGTTGTGAGGACGCACCGAGGGGACACAGGGCAGGTGCCCGGCAGTGCTGGAGGCCCAGCTGCAGCCCAGCAAAAGCGGCCCTGCTTCTCTTGTCCCTGCCAGTCCCCTATCCAAGCACCCTGACCAGCCAATTCCTGTGCATCCTTTGGGTCTCCACTCAGTTTCACCTCCTCAGGGAATCCTTTCCTGATGCCTATCTCCCAACACTGTCACCCACCATGACTCCCCCAGTGGCAGGCCCTCTGTCCCCAGCACCTGGAAGAGTCCTAGCCTGTCGCCTTCCACCACCACCCTGTCTCCAAGTTCCAAGCTCTGTGGTCAATGCCTGTACCAGATTCCCACAGCCTTCCCCCTTGTCTCCTCAGGCCAGCCCCATCTGAAGGCCTGGAGTCGGGTGGGATTTCGGAGTTTGGCCAGCTTGGGTCAGAAGGGGCCACCAATTCTCAGAGCATCAGTCCTTCCTCTTATGTTAACTTCACTCAAACAAGGCAGTGTCTTTTCCGTTCTTTTCCCTAGGATCTCTCCCCCTTAGATTGAATGGTGTGCCCAGGCCTGAAGGTTACCCAAAATCTGGGACTCTCAGTGCTAAAACCAGGACAGACAGACAGGTTGATTTGGCATCCTACTCCTACTGTTGTTGAATGCCCTAGAAATTAGTTTTTAATTTGACAAGTAAAATTATGACATATTCTCCTCATATAAATAAAACATTAAACCACTAAGAGGAATCAAGGCTCCTCGGAGAAACAGCTGACTGCAGGTTTGGGACACAGAGAGTACGTGATTCTGGGACAACTTCACCAGAAAGCAAGAAAATGGTCAAAAGTTTTGACATGTTGAAAGGACACAGAGATAACGGAGCTCCCACTGGCCAAATCTGCCACATTTGAGCATCTAAGTGAATAAGGAGAGTAATGGATTGTAACTCATTAAGTAAAATAAGAATCTACAGACCATACACTAATGAACGAAATATCTTCCCTATAGTACAAAGCTAGTAAATGGAGAAAGAACTATGCAAATAGAAAAGAAATAGTACACTAATCATTCATGTAGGCAAGAAATACCAATGAAAACTAGTGGGTTAAAAGTTTGAGGAGCTCATACAACTCAATATCAAAAAAACACAAAAAACCAAAAACCCCTCATTTAAAAAATGGGCTGAAGACCTACATAGATATTTTTCCAAGGAAGACATTTGGATGGCTAACAGGCACATGAAAAGATGCTCAACATTGCTAATTATCAACTAAATGCAAATCAGAACCACAATGAGATATCACCTCACAACTAACAGAATGGCTATCATCATAAAGACCACAAATGACAAATGTTGGAGAGGGTTTGGAGAAAAGGGAACCCTTGTACACTGTTGGTGGGAATGTAAGTTGGTGCAGCCACTATGGAAAACAGTATGGAGATTCCTCAAAAAACTAAAAACAGAACCCACCGTATGATCCAGCAATTCCACTCCTGGGTATATATCCAGAGAAAACAAAAATCCTAATTCAAAACAATACATGCACCCCAATGTTCATAGCAGCATTATTTACAATAGCCAAGACATGAAAACAACTTAAACGTCCATCAACAGCTGGATGGATAATGATGATGTGGTATACATACACAATGGACTCAGTCAGAAAAAAAACACGAAATTTTGCCATTTGCAACAACATGGGTGGACCTTCAGCATATCATGCTTAGTGAAATAATACAGAGAAAGACAAATGTGTGTTATTATCTTTATGTGGACTTAAAAAAAATAAATAAAACAAACTAGTGAATATAACAAAACAGAAAGACTCACAGATACAGAGAACAAACTAGTGGTTCCAGTGCGGAGAAACAGAGGTAGGGGCAAGTTAGGGGTAAGCGATTAATAGGTACATACTACTATGTATAAAAAGTTAAGCTACAAGGATATATTGTACAGCACAGAGAACGTCACCAATATTTTATAACTGTAAGTGGAATATATCTTTAAAAACTGTGAATCACTATGTTGTACACTTGAAATTCATACAATATTATAAATCAAGTACGCCCCAATAAAAATTTTAAAAGCTTGAGGAGTGACGGGATATTTGCAGTCTCAACTGTCTTCTCACAGGATAGTAGTAACAAAGAATACCCAGCAGCACCCAAGCCATGTGATCAGAACCAGCTCGTGATACTGATGTCAAAGCGCATAACCTAATCTAACCATGGGGATGCACTGAAGTCTACGTCTGGCATTTGGCATTTACTTGGGGCGAAGGCGCCTCTTTTCGCTAGCGATTTGACTATTTCCCCCAGGGGACAGGTCCTGGGCTGGCCGCGCCAGTATGAACCCTCAGGTTCCGGTCCCCATCGCCACACGGCCCGCAGTCCCCACAGTGCTCCAGGCGGTTCGGATCGGAGTCCTGCTCCACCCACCCCCTGCCCAGCGAAGGTCGCGTCCTCCTAGGCGACCCCGCGTCCCCCAGACCGCTGCCTCGCAGGACCGAGGAGGACACCAGAAAACACCAGGGTTTCCGGCTCTGCGACGGAGGCTGCGTGGGCCAATCCCGGCCGGGAGCGGGCGGGCGTGGGGCACGACGGGCCTCGTAGTCGGCGCGCAAGGACTACGATCCCCACAACGCACCGCGCAGCCGTGGCGGAAGCTACGGCATTCGGAGGGGCCGCCTAACGCGGGGCTCAAGGCCAATCAAGGGCTAGAGAAGACGGGCGCGGGGCGCTACGGGCCTTGTAGTTACCGCCGGCGGGACTGTGGCCCCCACAGTGCCCCGCGCGGTAGCAAACTCAGTGCGGCTGCGCGGCGGCGGTGGCGGCGGCGGCGGCGGCCGGGGAGCAGTCGGGCTAGGCGGCGGCGGCGGCGGCGGCGGCGGTGGAGACGGAGGCGGCGGCGGTGGAGACGGAGGCGGCGGCGGACGAGACCCCGGCCTGAGCCCCGGAGGGAGTGGCGCGACCCCAGCCGTGGCCACCATGTCCGCGCCGTCCGAGGAAGAGGAGTACGCGAGGCTGGTGATGGAGGCGCAGCCGGAATGGTTGCGCGCGGAGGTGAAGCGGCTGTCGCACGAGCTGGCCGAGACCACGCGTGAGAAGATCCAGGCGGCCGAGTACGGGCTGGCAGTGCTTGAGGAGAAGCACCAACTCAAACTGCAATTCGAGGAGCTCGAGGTGGACTACGAGGCCATCCGCGGCGAGATGGAGCAGCTCAAGGAGGTAAAGGGCAAGGGCGGCCGGCGCCACACCCTCTCGTTACGGGTCCCGACTCCCGACCCTCGACCCGGACCTCTCACTCGGGCCGGACTGACCCCGGCACCGACTCCAGAGCTGGCTGCTGACTGGGACCAAGGCGACCCCCGAGCTGGTCTCCAACTCAGGCCAAATGACCCCTGACCCCAGGCCGAGTCGACCCCCGAGCCGACCCCTGACCCCAGGCTGGCCATGCCAGCACCGGGACTTGCAGGGTCAGTGTGCTTGGCCGGCCGGGAGGCGGCGCTGCGGTGGGCGGCTGGCCCCAGGAGTGGTGGGCAGTGTGCGTTCTAGAAACCCTGGTGTTCTCGGCAAGGTCTGCGGTGTGGCCAGCCTGTCTGTCCCTGATGGCAGGTCTTTCTCGGGCACGGTGGGTTGGCGTTCTCTGCAGTGTTTGGCTTCCCGGGGTGGGGGGAGTTGGGGGCACTGGGATGGATGCAAGTGACCGACTGGGAAAGACCAAATCTGGGTCTTCATCATCTTCAGGCACATCACTTCCCGTCTCTGGGCGCAGCTGCCTTCAGCGGTTTCAGCGTCCTCCGTATAGGCCCCGAGGCCGGGAAAGGGCCAAGTCGGGGGCTTGCCTTGCATGTGGCCATTGCAGCTGGCCAGGGTACCCCACTATCCCTCCCCATGTCTAGGGACATTCAGCTCCTGACCACCCCACTGGTTACTTCTCTGGGGTACAGTGCTTCTCTTGTCCGCTTCCTGTCCTGGCTGCCCTCCCAGGCCCTTCCCTGCAATTGGCTTGTAGGTCTGTGGGTGTTTGTCGTGGATGAAGTCTTGTGTCTTCTATGTGATTAACACTCCGGGATAAGGAGGTTGGATCCCCAGGCTGCCAGAAAGCCTTGTGGTGAGAGAGCTAGGCAGTCCTTCACTGAAGTGGTTCTCTTGGGTGATTTAAACATCATCTTTCTCAGTCCTCCCTGACTGCCTTGTTGTGGGGTGGGCAGGAAGAAGTTGTTTTCTGGGTGGAAAACCCAGGTTTGGACCCAGGCCTTGCACCTTGCTGGTGATGTGGCTGTAGTCAGGGGCCTTAGCTTCTTCCTCTGCAACATTCTACCCAGAGAAGGTTGGTCTGAGGTGTATTTGAAAAGGCTGAGCAAGGTGTCAGGCATCTAACCTGTCAGTTTTTGTGATAGTCTGCCCCATCCCCACTTGACTTCTCCTTGTCCAGGTGGGCTCTTGGCCTTTGGTCTCAGGATCCACTATGCTGCTTCCTGTATGCTCCACTTCCCAGCATCCTGCTCCCAGTGGCCTCAGGCAGGTGCCTGGACTGTTCAGAGGCTCCATGCCTCACTGGGGAGACCGGTCAGATCCCCTTTGAGAGTGGGAGGAATTAATACATGAAGGTACTTAAGTCTGTGCTTGGTGGAGTGGGTGCTCTGATAGTACCAGAAAAAAACTGATAGGGTCTGGGGCAGGTGGGGGTGGGGAGCTCATTCAGTCTGAGGACGTGTATTTGTCAGCACATATTGGTGCTTCCTCCGAGCCAGGCTCAGCTGGCACTAGATCTACAAGAGAGGTGTTATGTGGTCCCTCCAGCAAGGGCCTCATCTTGAGGGGGCAGGGAAATGCGCTGGCGATGGAGGGAGGCCAAGGGGGCTGTGAGAACACGGAGTGGGAGCACCCTCCGCTCACCCCCTCTGCAGCTCAGGTGGGCTGGCCTTCCCCACCCCTCCCTTCCGAGTGCGTGGTGAGCCCCTGCTGGCAGCATGCACAGTCGCCTTCTGTGTTCACAAGCTGGAATTTGTGTCTGCTGTAAAAGCCGACTAGAGGGGACGGTGGCAGACAGAACTACCCCCTGCTTAAGGACCTTCCAGTTGTCAGCTCTGTCCTATCACAAGCATTTGGCCAATGCAGGAACCTTGGCTCAGATTTGTGAGGTGTGTTTGGAGGGTGGGTCCTCGGGGGAACCGGGAAGAAGGTGCACCAGTCTCCGCAGGTGTCCCTCAGGTGCCTGCTTGCTTAGTTTGCTGTTACGTCCTGGCTCCCACACGCACTGGCCACGTGGCCTCGGACGCATTGCCACCCTGTCCTGAACTTCAGTTTCCCTTACTGTAGCTGGGATAAGAAGAGTTCAGCTGGAAGTTGACAGGAGCTAGAGGAAGGTGCATCAGAGCCTCGTCAGATGTTGCCAGAAAACTTGGGCCAGTTCACCCACACCCATGTCAGCACAGGCTGTTTGTCAACCTGTCTAATTTTATCTAATGTCATACTTGGAAGTATTAACTCTTAAAAATCAAGATTTAAGGAAGTAATATCTGTTGGACTTTTAATTTTTTTTCACCTATAGAGACATGAACCATCATCATTCTTTTAAAGCACTTTCTTGAACTAAAGGATGTTCAGTTACTAACAAATGACATTACAAATAGAGGTGCCTGTAATCCTGCCCAGCATTTGTAGATAATACTGCCTTTGAGGGAAGGAGGCTGGCTGGCATGTCCCAGGTCACTGGGTTTGTGACCAGGCCCAAGGAGGGTCTCATGCAGGGCCAGTGGGCAGTGGTGCTGGCCCTGAGGCCTTTCTCACTTGATGAGTGTGTGTATCCTTGTCCGTGTCCGTGTCCCACTGACACCGAGGTGTGTGTGCCGGGGATACCCATTGGCCCATTGTACCTAGCCATTTTGCTAGTGATTGAGCATGGCTTAATAAAGGACCCATCTGTCCCAAGTCCTGCTGTGTCCCTGCTCCACCATAGTGGGGAAGAGAATCAAACAGACTTCGGTCCGCCTCGTGGTGTTTCCTGTCCTGAGTAGCCATGGACCATCTCTCTCTGTATCTTCAGCTGCAGTTTCACGAGGGCTGGTGTGCTGGGCTGAAAGTTCCTGCCTGCAGGGCTGGGTCAGGTATTGTGAATGGGTGGTCCTTGTAGGTGGGGAGTGTGAAGGCTGGAGAGAATGCCCCAGGCCAGTGGCGGGGGTCCTGGTGCAGTTGGAGCCCCACCCTCACCCAGCTCCCAGAACAGGAAGGCGAAGTCTGGATGCCCTTGCTGTCTTCTGTGCCACCTCAAGATCCTGTCTGTGAAGTATGCTTACGTCCTGGGGAAGGTACTGGTGGCATTTGGTGAGCTGCAGCCTGTCACAAGCTAGGACTAGTCCCCATTACATAGTAAGTGCTTATTCAGTAAGTATCTGTTGGCTGGTGTCGCCAGCTCCTTTCCTCTACCTCACCCAGGCCTGGATCCCCTCCCTGCTGCCCCTGTCATCACCTCATCTCTGTCCCTTGTTCTGGCGAGGTCTGGAGTGGCTCCACTAGGTCTCCTAGAGGATGGCCTGGGGCTCCTGGCCTGGCTCAGCCTGCACTGCCCTGCCATCCCTCCCTCTTCCTGATCTTGGATCTTGGGAGCTCCACCTGCCCTTCAAGTCCTGGACACTTTTTGCAGCCTCTTCTGCCAGTCCTCTGGACTTGCCTGAGCCCAGCTGCTAACACCCGGTATTCCTCCCGTCCTGCCACTCAGGGCTGTGGCAGAGCTGATGGGAGCCACTGCTCTCTCTTCTTGCTCCCACCTTCCTTCCATCCTTCTTGTAATCTCCTTTCTCAGAGGATGGGGAACCCAAGGTAGAGATGGGCGTGAGTGACTGAGGAAAGCCCAGTGACTCAGACCAAGTTGGCAGTGGTCTTTGGGCACCAGGCTCCTGCCTGAGGCTCTGTGAGAAGTCACGGCTGGGAGCTGGCTCATAGAGGAGGGAGGTGTGAGCGCTGCTCCTGCCAAAGCCTCCCTGCTCCCCGCCGCCTCCTTCCGTCCTCACACCCACCTTGGCGTCGCTACCCTGTCATGTCTGTTGCACAGCTAGGGAAGCTGAGGCAGAGAAAAGCTGAGTTTCACTCAAGGCTCTGAGCCTAGGCAGCCTCTCCCCAAGAGGACAGGCACCTGCTTAGGAGGGGGACATGATGAGAGACCTCTGAGCAGAGCTCAGCCTCCTCGAGTGTTTACTTTGGAGAACAGGACAAGTCCTGATTTGGGCCAACCCTGTGAGGATTCTACTTGTCTGATAACACCCTAGAACTTGGAGCAGAGAGCCACTGGGGGCTGGGTGGCTCTCGGAGACCTCAGGCCCTTTCGGGGCCAGCTGTGGGTGGTCTGTCAGCATGAAGAGGCCTGACTTGAGGGGGAATTTAGGCTCCAGGGAATCCTGGAGGTGCTGAGGTGGGCCTGGTCCCAGGGGCCTGCCAGCTGGAAGGGGCAGCTGTCGACATCGAAAGGCGATGACTTCACAGGCCACTGTGGTTGCACTGCTGGGCACTTCCCTTTCCTGCAGAGCTTGTGTCTGGCAGAGTGTTGTGAAGCAATCTTAATGGCTCTTCACTTTTGAAAACTGCCAAAACTCTTGTGTCACCTGGGATTCTGTCTTCCTGCAGGGCTTGGGGGGCGAGCAGCCATGCACCTCCGCATCCCCGTGGTACGGCTTTGGGTCCATGGCTGGCGTGCGGTGCAGGGGCTGCTTGTCCACAGCTGGTGCAGGGAGGCGGCCAGGCCTGAGAGTGGCGTTGTCCGGGGCTGTGGTTTCCCCACTCCGGCTCCAAGGGAGCAGCTGGACCCTGCCCGGGCCCCTGGGAACTGTGTGGCCCTGGAGGAATGGCTTTTCCCGGAATCAGGCCAGCGTACCTGGGACATGTAGGCAGGTAGTGGCTGAGGCTCCCTGCGTTTGTGCAGCTGCCTCAGAGCTGTGGCCAGGTGGACACAGACTCCTGCTGGGCCTTCCCACTTCAGGGTCCTCAGCCCCTTCCTGTGAGGGAAGAGATCAGTTTACCCTTGTCAGTTTGGGGCAGCCACCCCTCAGTCAGACCTGCTTCTCCATATCCATACACTGGATAAAGCACCACTATGCACATTGAAGGTAAAGAAGAATTTGGTTTCCTCTTAGACAGTGAAGTGAAGGTGACTAGCGGGCAGGGGCTGGCCAGCACCCTCCGCGGCCCCAGATCCCACATTGTCTAGGGTTTGGAGTGTGGCCTCTCGA